CACACACACACACACACACACACACACACACGTGGAGGGGAGGGGGATGGGCAGAAAGAATCTCCAGCAGGGTAGTCTAATGTGGAGCTCTACCTCACGACCTTGATATGATGACCTGAGCCAGAATCAAGAGTTGGATGTTTAACTGACTGAGCCACACAGGATCAATGTATATTTTTCCTTCAATATAAATTTGGTTATTAGATTTAAATATATTTTCCTTATCTTTACTGTACAATGCTTTTCTTTTGTTAACTGTTTTGATGCTTTCTACATGTTTCCCTTAGCATGATACATTCTTTTAATTGATCTTTAAGAGCTCTCTCTTCATTAAGGTTATTAACTTTCATCACATACATATAAAAGTTCTCTTGTTTGCATTTGTTTTAAATTTGGTTGATATTTTCAGACATGGAGATATATAAAACTTTGATTTACTCATATCTTTTACTTTAAACTTTAGCTTTTGATGATACAATTTAAAATACCTTTTTATACAAATATTAACTTTAATTGTCTTGAATTATGGTTAGTTTCATTTTTACCTTTAAATTTAATGCACATGAAGTAGATCTGGCATAATAGATGAGATAAGGATATAAATTGATCTTTTCAAATGGTTGCCCACTTGGTAAACTAGATACCATTTGCCAAATGATACTTCCATTTGACTAGAAAAGTTGCATTTATAATATACTATATAACATATACAGTACTATATACTAATATATATGATACTATATGTAATATACTATAAGAAGCATTCATACAAATTCCAGCTTATTTATAGACCAATCATGCCATACACCTCTTCTTTTAACCGTACTATATTAACTATTTTATTTCCAGTGTTAATTCTTTTCCCTAATAATGAATTGTTAGATGAAAACCAACATACTTATTTTTAAGTTCACCTAAATATTAACTTTATTCTTATTAAACCTAAATTGAAATGATTAATAGAAAGCTTCTACAGCTTCTAGACTAAGTTATCAATAAAAGTTTCTTGTCCGTATTTTTAAAATGTTTGATAATGAAATACATTTTATGGCTATCATAAAATACATTTTATTTTTAAAAAACTGGTTAGCTTTCTCACTGGCTTACTCATCTACTAACAAATATTTGATATATTAAGTTCTGAGCACCATGCTAGGTCTCAGGGACTATGCTCTTGAAGTACACATTCAATAAGCAACTAAACAAATACATAAATTGTGTCAGTGCAAAAAAGGAAATGAAGAAGATGTAGTGGTAGAGAACAGGCTGGTCATGTGGAGGAAGCTACTCAGCTACAGCAATCAGGAAGACCTATGTGAGGTGAGCGCCTTCAGGGAGACACCTGAAGGATGAAAATGCATCAGTCATGTAAAAAATAGGGAAGAGAGCAAACTAAAAACCAGAAACGAAATACAAAGATCAAGAGGCAGGACAGTGCTTGTAATTATTAAAGAACGGAGAAGGCTATGTGATATTTTTACTCTAGATGCTACCAGAAAATTAAAAAAAAAAAAAAAGAACCAATATCATTTACATTTTAAAACAAATTTTAGCAAAATTGCAATAAATCAAATAAAGATCAGTAAAAAAAGAGGTAACTACTTTGGAGGCAATTGTATAATCCGGGTAAATTAGAACTAAAGTAGTATGCCACTGTAACACATTTTAATTTTGTTCCCTAAATTATAAGAAGCCTTTAAAAATTTTTAGAAAGAAACACTGCTTTATTATATTTGTTATATTGTATACTATAAAATATTTATTATATGAATGTATAATATTAAATATAAAGTATGTTTCATTACTTTATTATATACATTAGTGTTACTTTTTACTGTCATCAGTAACAGACTAAATGACTAAAGAAAAGAAATCCAAAGAAGAAACTATAGCAATGCTCCAAAAAGAGATGAGACTTTGAACTGAGGGACTATCAAAGATTAAAAAAAAAAAAGAGAGAGAGGCCCGAGAGCTAGTTAAGAACTTTTTAAAAAGCTCAATAATGAGCTGAAAGGAGAAAGTAAAATGTGAAGGAGTTGAACAGTAGTCCAAATCAGTGCTTCTTAAACTATCTGCGAAAATTCACCTTTTTAAAAATCCATCACTGACTGACATTCTGAAAATGAATTTAAAATAATTTTAAAAATTAAGTACACAAAACAAAAGCCCAAATGTTTTTATTATTTGACTCTCTAGAAAAAAATAAATTTCAACTTGATCAGAACAAAGATAACATTGGGAAAAGAAAATAATTATAAAACTGTTCATCATGCTGTTCACTGAAAGTGTGTGTATAGGTGACCAATATATACAAATGTTATTATACTTTTGACTTTTTCCCATTACAAATCATAAACAAACAAAGTTTTAAGCAGAAGAGTGATTCTCTAAAATAGACTCCTATATAAATGTTTTATACAAACACTGGGAATATAAATATTTAAGGTTGATAATGTGACAGTGAGAGCTTTTTGCTTGTTAACTTATTTAATCCAAGTTGAACTGGCAATAATGCCACTCATGGGAATAACATATAGCTAAGCTGTTTTTGTTTTATTTTAATATCGTGCAGAGTAGAGGAAATAGTGTCACAGAGGTATGTTCATGGAATGAAAACTCAGAAAGCTCAGAATATTCATTTTAAGCTTTTATCCAAAATGAAAACAGAAATGCTGTGTCTTCAAAATTTCCCTCAATGCTCATTAATGCCCATTCCAGTAACTTATCTTGTACTGTTATAATCAAATACAAATTATATTTCAATGAAAGCAATGAATTCCAGTTTTGTGAATCTCTTATGTATGAATTTTCTTCTGGTGGAAAATTAAACACAAAACATTCTATCAAATACATAAAATGTCAGGAGATAAATTTTAAAGGATGAGCAAAATCAAAATCATCCTTACAGATCAAGATAATTTCTTGATAATTATATTAAATAATAATTTTTAAGTAATGAAAAAGTCATAGAAATTGTACACTTCTAAGATTCTAACTTTTTGTCCTTTGAGCTTTTCTGCTACTAAAAAAAACATGTTGCAATCATTCCCCATTTATAAGTACTGAATTCATTAAAAATATTTTACAGGTCTGACCAAGAAGCCAGTTTTACTAGTCTTTAAAGAACGGAATCAAACTGGTTTCTTACTCTGTAAGAGTAAACACCAAGAGTTGACTCTTGTTCCAATATCATCAACAAGATTTCTGCCTTTCAATACCCATCATACCACAGAACACCATACCAGTTATTTATAATCAGCTTCCACATTACTACATAGAAAAGAAAATAGCAAATTCACCACAACAGTCTTAAAGTAACTCAAAATTTTATTATGCCAGTAAGAACACTGTGCAGTTGAGCTAATGTTGTTTTCATAAGATTTTCTTGATAAAGAAAGAAGTACATTGATATTCTGATACAGGCTCCTTACTCTGGGTAACTATTCTAGAATATTTTCCAGGCACTACAGCTAAGCCTCTGGAACACCTCTACACACACACACACAAAGCCCTCCAGATTTTTTATCTAATCTAATTTAATCTAATTCTTCTTAGTTCATAGCTAGATGTCTGTAAGCAATAAAGCTGAAAAGAATTTTTCCTTTATTTCATCATGATGTTCAAAGGTTGCACATTTATTGAAAAAAAAATCTGTGCCTTCACCAAGATGTAACTAAAAATAGTTCACTGCTCTATGTGTTCTGTAAATTGGTCTTCCATATTATTAGCCAATATATAGAAAACATTGAACTAGGGTATCATCCGGAGTGCAGGGTCCTCTTTAAACTCACTCAGGTTACTGGAGGAATTCCGTTCTTTGTTGCCGTGGGCTAAGTCCGCCACTTACTTGCTGATTGCCAGCCATGCAGCGCTCTCAAGCTCCTACAAGGGGATTTTAGGTCTTTGAACTGCAGTCACCTTCATCTCAGCAACAAAGGACTTACTTCAAGTCAAATCACTTTCACACTCTCGGTCTCTCTGACTTCTTTTTCCGTAACCAGCCAGAGAAAACGCTCTGCCTTTATGGTCTCATGTTATTAGGTCATGGATATGGACAATCAGTTTCTCTTAAAAGCAACTGTGCCATGTAATACAACATAGTCACAGGAGCCAAGATATTCCCAGGAATCATGCAGGGTGTGTACATGGGAAAATCTTGGGTGGGATGGCACAGGGAGAGCAGAATTCGGCCTACTACGATCCTCTATTCTGCAGAGAATAATCCTATGTCAACCTTACCCAGAGACACCATATCAGCTATTTTATTTTTTATCTCTATAAACTCCAAATGATTCTTTTTAAAAAAATTTCCATTTTTTTCCTCATTACATTCACTATTTCTTTTAGACTGAAAAACATTTTAAACATACTTATAATAGCTGTTTTAATGTTCTTATCTGGCAATTCTGCCATCTCTGTCATTTCTGAATCTGTTTCTATTGAATTATTTTTTCCCCTTGCTTATATATCACATTTTCCTGATTCTTCTCATGTTTAATAATTTTTGTTATTGAATGCTTAACATTGAATTTTATGTTGTTTAGTGAAAAACTTTATGTATTCCTTTAAAGAGAGGTAGAATTTTGCTCTGACAGAAAGGAAAGTAACTGAGAGATCAATTTAATGTTTTCAAGGCTTGTTTTTAAGTTTGTTTTTTTTTTTTCTTGTGAGTCTAGAGCAGCCTTCCTTTTAGGGCTATTTTAGTCCCACTACTAAGATGTGACTCTTCTGCAATCTCTAGTGAATGCCACCACTGTGAATATTCTAAAACATATAATTAAGTATCCTTAATTTACAGGTGATACTTAAAGAAATGTAAAGAAAACAAATATAAAAACTATATTTTGCTTTCAAGAGCCAAATGTAAATACAACATATCATATCTCCATGAAACCTGAAGTGTATACTTGTTTATAAACAATTACATTATGGATATTTATTGTAGAACAATTAATGAAATACAAATACCCAAACAGGTCAGGAGATGAGGTCAATATTACCTTTGTAAAATGAGTGGGCAAAGCTCTGCTCAGGAATTAACTTGGCAAGGAATCCATGGTTCAAACTTGGATGAGGGATAGATGGTATGACCACAACTGTAGAGAAAATCATGGAATCAAATTGAGCCAGCATGTAACAACCTGCAACATGGTCCACTGGAGATCCATGACAACTCTGTATTACTGCAACATGCAAACAGTACTAGCAATAAAGACTGCATCTCTGGGGAAAGGAAAGAGGCTATGTATTAAGAGAAAGGAGAAATCAGACACTTGTTAAGTAGAGTAATTTTAGCAACATACAGGAAGACATACACATACAAAATCAGAACTGGAAGGCTGACTACAGTATTGCTTGTTTTATACATATAAAGCTGATACGAATGCATTAAAAATGAAGCAAAAGTTGATTAACATAATAGAGCCTTAGTGTTTTAAGTGGTCAGAAGACATAAACTGGAATGGTAGGATAATGTTTAATTTGAAGAATAAAGTTAAAAGTATACTACGATGAAATAACATCATGTTTATGTGTTCAAAGTAAATACTGCATGCAACAATAAAGTATTATAGTTAAAACATAATCCATATTTCCACAAAAACAAGGTAAAGGAGATATGATATGCTCAGGGAAAACAAGATGCAGAGATTTGACCACTAATTTCTACTCACTTTTTTAAATATCCATTTTACCTATATATCATATGCATTTATTTAGGAAAGACAATTTCAGCTACAAATTTATCCAGTGGCATATGAAATAACCACTAGGTTACCAAGGATACATTGCAAACAACCCAGAAACAATCTGGATATAAACACATGGCAGGAAATGCGACTGATAGAAGGCACTCTGTGATATTAAAATACTAGCTGCCAGAAAGTGTATTTATTATTTTCAAGCAGAATAGGCAAAGCTGATAATGCAAGAACTCCCACAACATGAACACCTTCTCTAAATAAGAGAGATAATATGATCCAAGATGGTTCATTGTTGTCTTTAAGTCTTTGATTTTAGTTAAAGGAACTTTGGTATAGTTTAGAATGTATGTTGGCTTATTATGAATCTCTGACAGAATATTTAGATATTTAAATAACTATACACAGCAAAAGAAATACAGAGAAAGAGAGAGAGAGAGAATAAGCCAGCAAGAAAGAAGCTATCTTTAAACTTGGCGGTAATAATTTATATTTTGGCTTATTCTTGGTCTTGAACTACTGTATAAGAATCTCCTACTTTCATGTTCATATAGTTAAAAAGTAGTATATTTAAAATGTATCAGTTATTTGCATCTTAAATAGTAAATGATTTGTATTAACATATGGAAAACACTAAAACCCAAACTGCACTGATAAAATGAGAATATAGCAAATATCATGGAAATTCACACATTTTTGTGGAATTAAAGAGTATTAAATTGGCATTTACATACCACCTACTTATAAATACTTAAGGTGAACATCAGTAGGACTAGTTTAAAACTGGGTGTAAAAATAAAACAAAAAGGAGAGAAATGATGATAAAAATTCAAATAACTAAGAAAAAAATAGTACCTGTACTTGTTGGCGAATTTATTTCTTGTCTGATGTTTCTACCTGGTTGGCTTCCAGTTCTTGCAGTCTCTCGCTGGGGTTCTAATATGTCACGGTACTTGGAAACCATCAGAACCGAAATGAAGTAAACAACAGCTAGAGCTAAGAACTGTGCCTGCTTGCTATCATCCTGTGTAAAATAAAAAGGCAGTTCTGACATTCAAATTTTTAAAGTTATCAGTGTACAAGAAACTACTATTTCATTTTCTTTATGGAGGCAAAACATGACATTTAACTTTTACTAAAACTTTTAAGTATACATTGTTATTTAATTAGTATCTTATAGGTATAAATTCAAAATTCCAGAAATATGAGTCACAGATTGAAATTTAATTTCAAAAAATGAGAATGTTAAAATTTTGCTGAATATGCCACAAAATTTTATTCTTTGTTCTTGTCACCATCACTGTCCGTTACGTCCATAACAATAGAGTATGTATTTTTATAAAATATACAGAAAGCAGAAGGCTGAAATAATAATATCTGGATAAAAATCAATAGTTCCAAATGTTATAATTTTAAAAATGAATAGAATAAAATTATAATTGAGATACATGTACAATTCTAACATATTACTACCTTAAAATACTGTACAAGTACAAAATAGGGGAAACAAACAATGGGGGAACAGAAAACGTAAACTTTATACAAGCTCAACACGAGCTGGAAGTGTGATATGGCAGCTTAAGAAATGCTAATCCAACTTCTGACTACTTAAATAGATAAAAATAAGTGACAGGCCCACACTGGGAAAATGACCTCTAAAACACTGCCAATATTTGAGGTTTTGAACTTCAAAAGCTCATGACAAAATGGGAGTTTTTCCAGTGCAACAAATTGGTAAAATGTATGAAAACAATTGGTGAAGTTAGGATAAAGAGAGAATAGTTTCAAAAAAGCAGAATGCAGAGGCTCCTGGGTGGCTCAGCTGGTTGAACGTCTGACACTCCATTTCAGCTCAATCACGGTCTCAGGGTCTTGGGTTCCACCCTCACAGGGGAGTCTACCTGAGATTCTCTTTGGCCCTCTTCCTTTGCCCCCGCCCATACCCCTTCTCTCTCGTTCTCTAATAAATCTTAAAAAAAAAAAAAAAAAAAAAAAGGAAAGAAAAGCAGACTGCAGTCTAGTAGAAAAAATAACTCTCTAAGTAAGCTTTGTAAACTATAAAGAGCTGTATGCAACCTTGAAAGCCTAGATAACTATATCATAAGGGAAAAATTGATAAGGAAGCAAACTTATTACCTCTAATACTACTTTGAAACTAGCCTGGATCGAAGGCATCAAATGTAAATCGTTATAAAACCCTTTTTCTAAACTATGTAAAGGTAGATCCTTCAAACCAAAACTGCAAGTCATTACTGTGTCCCACAGATAACAGATAAAAAATAGTATGATATGAATAAGGAAAGCGAATATGCATTAAAGTCTAGCAACTCCATTAAAGGCACTTTATATTTTTACTTCATTTAAGTAAAATGCAAACAAGATTCAGAATGTATGTGCCTTTTGTCTTTCCTTTTGTCAGAAAAGAAAGCAAACAAGAAATATTTAGTAATAATTTAATACTGTGAAATGGTATTAGTATAGATAACACAGAAAAATACCAAAACAGATTAAATTTGTTCTAAAATATTATAAATTTAGTATTTCATATTCTGAGGGTGACAGTTTTCCTAGAGTATAGTTTCTTATAAAGTGTTTGAAATGCATACTCTGTTCACTATAATGCTGATGGGATCAATATACAGAGAAGGGACAAAATCAAATACTTAAATTATTTATCATAAAGGAAAATGAAGTGCAATCATATCAACAAAGATACTGACCAGGAATAAATTCAAACACAGCTCAAACTGTGACACACCGTGATATTCTACAACATTTACATTTCTACCACTGGAAACTCAATGCCCGGCAATTAAAAAGCATGTGTGGAATGAATGCATGTTAACTACAAAGCTGCCAAGTTGCAAACAACAGATATTGTGAAGTGTCCTAGCCAAGCTAAAATCTCCCATATGTATGACATGAAAACAGCTGCCTTTTATTTTCAAATCCAGATCTGCAAACCAATTGTGTTGCTTATTCCCAGCTCTTTCTTTAAAAATGAAGTACAACATCTGGAGAACAACTAAATTTTTATACAAATTAATTGTCTTGCCTACTTATTTTATTATTATGAAGACATAAACTCATGTTTCTCCCATCTGCTTAAGAAATGGGTCCCTCCACTATTCAATCTTGAATCAATAATATAATTAACTCTTAAATCCTTTAAAAATTTTAAAGCTTCGGGCGCCTGGGTGGCTCAGTGGGTTAAATCCTCTGCCTTCAGCTCAGGTCATGATCCCAGGGTCCTGGGATCGAGCCCCACACCGGGCTCTCTGCTCAGCGGGGAGCCTACTTCTCCCTCTCTCTTTGCCTGCCTCTCTGCCTGCTTGTGATCTCTGTCTGTCAAATAAATAAATAAAATCTTTTTTTAAAAGATTTTATTGTCAAATAAATAAATAAAATCTTTTTTTAAAAGATTTTATTGTCAATTAATAAATAAAATCTTTTTTTAAAAGATTTTATTGTCAAATAAATAAATAAAATCTTTTTTTTAAAGATTTTGTCAAATAAATAAAATCTTTTTTAAAGATTTTATTGTCAAATAAATAAATAAAATCTTTTTTTTTAAAGATTTTATTTATTTATTTCACAGACAGAGATCACAAGCAGGCAGAGAGGCAGGCAGAGAGAGAGAGGGAGAAGCAGGCTCCCCGCTGAGCAGAGAGCCTGATGCGGGGCTCGATTCCAGGACCCTGGGATCATGACCTGAGCCGAAGGCAGAGACTTTAACCCACTGAGCCACCCAGGCGCCCCAATAAATAAAATCTTTAAAAAAATTTTTTTTAAACTCCAACTAGGATGTTAAAAACTTTTTTTTCAATTTTTAAGGGTTAAAATCATTTCAGTTTATATAATTTTGTATTTAAGGGACCACTAGTATAGAAGAATGATGAATTTGCTTTCAAATTTTAGTTTACTGGGGAACACTGAAAACAATGTTAATTTTTATTTTATTTTATTTAACAATGATGATAAGTCTAATTTTATTTCTTACGCATAGCAAATTTTGCCATGTAAAGCTCTGGCCTAGATTTAAACAGTTCATGTGGGCTTAAATCAGCAAATGTCTTCAAAACAGAAAACAAACAAGAGCAAGATATATAGTCATTTATTACATATTATAGGCATGTATATAAAATGTACACCTATTTTTCCTTAAAAACCTAAGTTTTGATCTCATTTGTTTGTAAAATCAAGGCAATTAAAAATGACTGATGATTCACAAAATTTTCAAAAGTCAAGTAGAATTCTTAGCATGATATCTACAATTGACTCTAAAATATATCAACTGTCAAAAACCAACAGGTGATGGGAGGAGTGCACTCATTGTTATGAGCACTGGGTGCTGTAGAGAAGTGTTGAATCACTATATTGTACAGCTGAAACTAATATTAAACTAAGAATCTAAACAAAAACTTAATAAATAAACAATAAATAAAAATAAAAGTGAAAAAGTATTTTAGAATCTATGAAATATGGTGATGAAAAAGAGAATACTTTGGAAAGGTCTACCTTAAAGTTCTCACCACCTCATATTACCTGGGTGATCTTAACATTTCTGAGTCTTAAATTCCTCTTAACTCTTAAATGGAAGCTTATGATAATACATGTTAATTGTCTAAAACACATTATAAACTCAAGGAACACAAGTTATATTACCTTAATGGTATTTGGAAGGTACCTCTGGGAACACTTAATTCCCATCCTTTGGGAAGAAAGCTAGGCACCATTGCTGAGTTATCCAACATATTTAACATCCAGAAGTCTTAGAAAAAATTATCATAATCTACCATAATAACCAATGCAGAATTTACTAACAATTTAAACATAATGTTACACTTAACATAAACCCCTTCTATGTTAGGTCTGAGTGTGCCTCTTGGAGATGAGGATATGCTCCATGTTTTAATCATTCTTCATTTGAAAAACATTCTTTCCATAGCATATTTTTTCAGGATGAATAATTATAATTTCTAAATGATAGACCTGTTAGGGATTTTTTTTTTCCAAGTCTGGATTAGAGTCCAGATTGTGGTAAGAGTCTCACATCATGATTTTTATACTGTCACGCATTTTATTCCCATTTTTAAAAAATTACTTTATTATTTATTAATTACAAAAGAAATATGGGTTTACAATAGAATTTTTGAAAACACAAAAAAGTAAAAAGACTAAGGTACAAAATAAAAATTTTTTACCTGGAGATAATCATTAGTAGCACTTGGTATATTTTTTCTAGTCTTTTTTTTTTTTTAAGATTTCATTCATTCATGACAGAGAAAGAGGGAGAGAGGGAACACAAGCACAGAGGAGCTGGAGAGGGAGAAGCAGGCTCTCTGCAGAACAGGGAGCCTGATACGGACTCAATCCCAGGACGCTGGGATCATGACCTGAGCTGAAGGCAGAAGTTTAACAACTGAGCCACTCAGGCGCCCCTCTAGTCTTCTATTTTTAAAGGCACACATGTACATGTACATACACTCAACATAAAAATGTAGTATTTGTGTAATATAAGTACTTTTGTGTACTGATGCTTTCCCTTAAAATATATCATGACCATTTTTCTATGCCACAAAATTTCCCTCGCAAATACTGTTATATGGCTGCATAGTGTCCCACACAATGAATATACTATGATCCATTAAGCTGAAACTCTACTGTGAGGTATTTGCAACATTGCCAACCTTCCTGTAGGCATCTTTGATGAGCACATGAAGTCAAATTACTTCTGGGTAGAACCAAAAGATCATAAGACATCTCACAGGGTGTCAATATTTTTAAGAGTTTTAACACATAATGCAAACTAACTATTCAGAAAGTTTATCCAATTTAAACATCTACTAGTGCTATATAACAGAGCATGTTTCAATGCACCCTTGCAATGCTGGGTATTATTATTTAAATTTTTTTATTTATCTAATACTAAAAATATCTCACTTATTTTAATTTGCATTCCTTTGACTATTGGTAATCCTGACTTCATCATATATTTGTTACCTTATCTTTTATATTTTATGCCCACCATCTAATTTTCTGTTGGTATGTTTATAATTTTTCTAGTAATTTATAAGAATGGATACATATTAAAGAGAGTTAAAATTTTTCTGTTGCATATACCTACTATGCAGTATTACGCTGTGTGACTTATATATGCTTTAACTACTTTCTAAAGTACAAAGTACTCATCCAATTTATTGTTAAATATAAATTTAAAATACAGACTTTCTTATTCTTGATCTCAGGGTCATGAGTTCAAGCCCCATATTGGGCATGGAACATACTTAATTAAATAAACTTCCTTCTGTTTCATAAATCATCAATTAAAATAAGAAAAACAGAATGCAAAGTAGCTGGAAAATAATAACTATGTTAAGGAGTAATGTCAATATTGAATCTTCTGCGAAATACTATCTACATCTCTACATGATTTGTGAAAAGTCCAATCTTATCTTTACTTGAATAAGTGATCATATAGCTGGGGTGTTCCAAGAAACCATTTCCATAAGCTACCTTTTCCTTAAGCTTTACAAAGCTACTTTTGTAACTCAAATTCTCATAAATACCTATTATTTTTAAAATGTAGATTTTCTTTCAAAAGTAATTGCTGCCACTCAAAAAAGTAATTGCCAGTAAAACCTTAGTGAATTATTCCCTTTCATTCATAGTACAAGGAACATTGATAATAACAAAATAGTACCTAGAAATGGAGCAAGGAATACAAAAGAAAAAATGTAGGTGATTCAACACAAAGTGAATCATAATTTTTCAAGGTTATCCCTAGTCTTAGTATACACAGAACTAAATCAAAATTTCACATCATCTAAAAAAAATGAGATCTATCAATGAGCTTTCAGAGAAAGCAAAGACTCAATCATTCTGCAACCAGAAGTATGTTCTAAACCTATGATTCCTGACATTAGGACATTTAGTTGTAATTTCAGCTTTCTTTTTTTTTTTTTAAGATTTTATTTATTTATTTGAGAGACAGAGATCACAAGTAGGCAGAGAGGCAGGCAGAGAGAGAGGAGGAAGCAGACTCCCTGCTGAGCAGAGAGCCTGATGCGGGGCTCGATCTCAGGACCCTGGGATCATGACCTGAGCTGAAGGCAGAGGCTTTAACCCACTGAGCCACCCAGGCGCCCCTGTAATTTCAGCTTTCTTATAAAATTTACATTATTTTACACAAATGACAGTGGAAGATTTTTTCCCTGGGAAATCAAGCAGGTATAACTTACCACATCCCGAAAGACGACGGCCCGAAGACGATTAATATCAACATCCTGAAGAAGTCTATCAGGATCTTTAATAGGAGAAAGGTTACCTGGAACACTTTCTAATGGGGTCTTAAAAAAGAAAGAGAATTGTTAAAAAGAAAATAGCATAATGCAGAAAGGAGAGTAATTTCTAGTATCTTCAGGCATTTCATGAGCCACGGTCTTTACCTCCCTATCACTGAGTAACATTTATTGACAATAGCATTCTATTACAAGACACTTTTTCTGTTCTCCTCTCTGCTCTTGTCACAGTTTCACTTACTTATAGGGTTCTTGTTTTTCAACACCACAGCTACCACAACAGACTCAGAAAAGTAGTGACTGAGGTGGAAAAGAGACTGATCTTGGACTTCTGAGAGTTTGAGCTTAAACTTTGCTGTGTAGCCTTGGACTTGTTAATAAAATTTTCTGAGCCTCACTTTCCCAATATCTACTTAATAGATTTCTTTGAGTCATTGGATTCATTTACCCATCATGTGTTTACAACATATGAGATTACTATATTATACTGCATGAGATTTTATATGTATAAATATGTTATATCTATGAAAAGCTAAAAAAGGCAAACAAAAATCATAGCCTTAATATTAAAGCTGAAAAACATAAAAGATCATAACCACCAAAAATCCTTTTTAAAGCTGAAGATACAAAAATTGACAAATTTTAAGTAATGTATCACATAGCAAACTGGTCAAAGAGCCAGGCTCCCTGAAATTCAGTCTAGTACTTCATTACTTATACAATATTTTAAAAATTGTTTGGATTAAATTAGGTTATATAGAGTACCAAATACAATTCCTGCAAAGAGAGTAACTTGTTACCCTAATAAAAATAAATAAGCTTCCTTTTAAATCTTCTACACACTTCAATTATGATATTTCACTCTTAAATTAAGACGTTTGATTCCTCTGCAGCATAGGATAGTGAAAAGAACATGGCTTAGTTATTTGGTTTCCATTATAATTCCACAACTTACCAGCCATATGACCTTAGGTGAGATATTAACCTCTCTGGACATCAGCTATATGATTTAAATGATAAGTTAATAATATTTATCACAGGATGATTAAAGAAAATAACACATTGTTTACAGCAGAGATGAAAAGAACACATTTTACAGCTTAGATGAAGAAATATATGAATACTTTAACTTATATGTATCATTTTACATTTATAAAGTGTTTTTACAACCATAATTGAATTTGATCTTTATAAAGACTTCTTTAAGGTAAAGCTTGTATTATTGCTCCTTTTTATGAAGTATAGAAAGTTGGGCCCAATGAAGATGTATGACTCATACAAGTCTACATGGATTAGTATTACATCAAAATTATCCATGGTTTACTTACTAAAGTGGCATAAAAATGCATAAACACAGGGAGATAAAAGAAAACCCTCATTTGCCAGGTCACTGACTCCCTTTCGTGAAATGTGTTTTCTTACAAAGTCCACTTTTCCTCTAATATTTCTGTATCTATCACTTATTAACCATTTCTTGTTGCCAAGGCTCTTGCTAAAGAGATAGTGACTAGCTCAACTAAATTACCACAAAATTCCTTCATGTTGGACTTTCTCTCCATGTTCTGAAATCAGAATAACAGTTGGTTTGACAGTGTTGAAAAGCTCCCTATTATCTAGTGAATTAGCTACAGATTCCTTTAAGATCAAAGTTCTCAAAAATACTAATTTATTTATTCATTTCATGAGTATATAGACCCGATAGAGGAAAATTAGTATTAATTGAAAGTTCACTGTGTGTCAGGAATTAACTAAGAACTTTAATTACTGTTTTTCATTTAGTTCATATAAACACCTTGTAAATTAATATTTGCATCCATTTTAAAGACTGGAAAACTGAGGCATAGGAGACTAAGGAATTTGTTTTGGGTCACAGAACTAGTAATGGGGTAGAGCCAGCATAAAAATTCAGACTTGTTTGATTCTAGAGTTAGTGCTCTTTTAACAAAGTACTGCCAGTGCTGTACATACATGCTCTGGAATTCCAAAGATGTGTAAGATATGCACATGTCCTCAAGTAACTTACAATCTACTACGCCTACACATACAACATGAGGCATTCTTGCTGATGTGTTCATATTTCATTTTCTAAGCAATGGAGAAACCTTTGGAGACTTGTTAACAATAAAATATGGTCTGGTTATTGTAGAAATGTTTTCTGATAGACGTGAAAAAGAGGCTACACTATAGATATATTAAATATGTGGTTGTTCTGTTTGAAAGTTAAAGAAGTTTGAAGCCACAGAACTATTTAAATGAATTAAACTTGTATTTCATGTCTTCGCTTACTGAGCAGAAAAAATGTTTCTCAGTATCAAACATCAAATTACAAGTGTAGTGTGTGATATGATACATACACAGTTTTATGAAAATATCAAATAGAGGAAACCTTAGATTGGGGTGGCTGTAAGGGTATCTGAAAACATTTTCCCAAAAGTAGCACTTAAGCTGAAGCCAAGAGCTGAATGAAATTTAACTGGATGAAAAGTAAGGATGGACCCTTCCAGTAAAGGGAAACTATGAAAAAGTCTGAAGGCAAAAAAAAACAAAAACAAAATAAAAAAAAAACCTCTGATGAACTAAATAAAGTCTATCATGTGACTAAAATGGCAAAAACAATGGGAAAGGGAATACAAGTTGCAGTTGGAGAAGTAAGCCAGGGTCAGTCACGGAGGACCATAAAAGTCATGTTGATAAAACTCTGGATGTCATGCAAAGGGTTAATTAAACATGTGATAAAGAGCTAATTTAAAGTGAGAATTACTGGTATATTCCAAAATACACTATTCATTCATTTCCTGGGCATTCAATATATGTGTTTAATATTATGGGAGTATCCATCACCAAAAACATATCCACTTAAAAAGCATAACCCACATATTGAGCTCTGTGAAAATACATTTAACTATGAAAAATAGTAATAACTAAGAACTTTCAGAACTATGTATACTGATATCCTTATAAAAAATCCTATGAAGTAGAAATTATTAGTACCTTCATTTAATAAACAAAAAATGCAAGTCTCAGAGAGGTTAAATAGTCTTGGTAACATAATTATGAAGAAGAAAAGCCAGCACCGAAGAAGCCTACAGCTGTCCAATTACCAAATGTTTGTTCTTTCATTACACAATACCATGTTACTTTTTTCTCATACTTAAACAAATTTTAGAGTACATGATATTTAACATAGAAAATGCTTAATTACCTTAGAAGCTGCTGTGGCGGTCACACTTTGGGGAGCTTCCTGAGGTTTACTGCTGCCGTGGGAAGATTTGCTCCCCCTGTCTCTCTGTCTCTGCCGACATTCTAAACAGTTTCTCACAGCAACACAACAAACTATTTAAAAACCAAAAGCATATTATTAATATAAATGCTTGACTCTGACATGTTGAAAGAGCTGCTAGCTTTTTTTCTTTCTTTCCATTTTCTCCATTCATTATTCCTAGATAAAATATTTTTTAAATTATGAAATACAGTAATGAAAAGTATATTTAAAACATGTGTAGTTAAAAAACAAAAACAAAAACAACATACCCATATACTACCAATCAGCTGTAGGAACAGAATATTACTGAAGCTCCCAATATATCCCTTCCTTATTCTATCTCCCTCCATCATTTAAAATTCTGAACTTCACAGATTAACAAAAATTTTTTGAAACTTCATATTCACATTTGATAAACTGTTTTGATTGATAAGACTTCTTCAGTAACATGACTACTTGGTGACCATACTGAGCACAGCTCCCTATTTCAGGAAGTGACAGAACACCACAATGCAGTCCATCTCACAAGTCCCAACCCACCTTTCTGCATGATGGGAAAGTCTACAGCCTTGTCAATAAGCATTCCATACATATAAGCTTTTCACTTATTTACTTATTTTAAGAAGTCCTATTCATATAGTAATACACATTACAAGTTCTGGAATCTGACTACCTGAATTTTACTTCTGGCTCTGCCCCTTATGAGAGCTGTGTGATCTTGGGCCAGCAGCTTAAGCTATGTGTGCCTCAGTTTCCTCATAAGTAAAATGAATATAAACATAGTAACCTCCTTACAGGATTGCTGTGAGGATTTATGGAATTGATATTTTTATAAAGTGCTTAGAACAGTAGACAGCACATATTGATACATTATTGCTTCATTATTATCACTTATAAAACTTTCCTGTAGATGACAAAAAAGCAAATCGGCTAGGAAATATTGGGATAAAAATGAAATTACCAGTACAGCTTTGAAATATATTCAGAAATAAAAGCTCAGAATAACCAAATAAATGCTAGTTTTAAGACACTGAGATATTTTAAACATTTCTCTGTTTCAGAGTTCACTGTCAGCTATTGTTAATTATCAAAGGATATGTCCATACTGGCCACAGTAAATTACCCCACACCTACTGGTTGTCAGAGAGATCTCAATGTGATCAGTCTCTCCATTATAGTGAGTATGAAATGATTCCACTTAACCTGCCCATCTTTAAAAAATGCAAAAGAAAACAAGTAGGTTTCATTCCACCATTCTTAAGCAAGTTATTATTCCTACCTTGGATCAGAACAATTTATCTGAAACTATACATGTATAGATTTGTATATAATTTTAAAAGTTATGTTTAAAAAGAGTACACATCAGAAATTTCCTTCCTATTTAATGCCTTATTTCTTGTGTCCTACTCATGCTCTAAGGCAAGTATAAAAACAATTGCTTTCTGGTCCCTTGTAAAGTCTAAGTAGTACACAAAAATTTCCCCTTTAAAGAAAGGTAGGCTATAGAAGAATGGATGTAAAGAGATGGATTAAATTTACTAAGAGTTTTCAGTGCTAACTTTTCTTTGTGACACAGGATTGTAAATGAACAGTATAGGTATAGTAATGTTTGTTAGTGTTAACAGCTTACTCTGAGAAACAGTGACACTGGCATAGTCAGTTTTATCCTTTGGCATGCTGTGTATAAAAACTATGTCACTGGTCTTCTGACATAATTGTGGGTCAGGACAACTATCAACTATGGTACACTACATTAGTGTACCAAAACAGGAGTCCTAAGTGGATTTACATTAAAATCATGTCAATGAAAAAATGTTATAGCCCTTTTGATTTTGAAACAATTCAAAATATATTTGACTTCATTTCAAATTATAATCCATTAAAGATGATCCATTTCATGAAATCTCCAATGTGATGATGCCACAATATTTTTAAGTTAGTAATTGTCAAGAATTACAAGGTAATCTCTATACAACATAATCATTAACTTGTTTCATCAATAATTTACAAAACAAAGAACATCAAAAACTAATCTGTAGGTAATTATTTAACATGCACCATTATTCTTAACAAACTTACCTAGCCTCAGGCACTGTCTCATTAAACCTCCAGAAGACATGTTTTTTTCAGCTTCAATCTCACTAAAATTTAGAGAGCTGGCAAATACAAGTACATCAACCATTGCCATCAATCGGCTGAGGAAAGTTACTGCTGTCTCAGCTGACATGCCTTGTGTCACTTCAATATTTTCCAATTCCGTCTTTAAAAAAGTAGAAGATTTAAGTCTTGTTTAAAATTTGGAAATATAATACATACACATACATGCTATAGGTAAATAGTAGTTCAGCATATCTAGTATATTTTCTAAACAAAATAAATTATAAGCTAATTCCACATATCAAAAGAGCTGGTTGTCAAATTTAACTAGTTTACCTATGAATTATCCTTGAAAAAAGGAAAAGTCCATTTTTAAGATGAAGGTTAATTTTAAATGTTATCATTTGTAAAAGCTACATTCCAAACTTAAGGTCATTTCACAAATACATCTAGGAATAATTATACAGCTTTATTTGTACTACTTTTGTCTTATTTTATTAATAAAGAGATAAAATTGATACTTTGCTAAAATCTTCACTCTCATTTATTAAAAGACATGCTTTAATTTCTCTTTAGTATAAATGCATGATGAGTAATAGTAAAGATATATGGCACTTCCAATCAGCATCAAAATGAGACGACTGTCAAATGAGAATACATAATTTCTTACCCATTTCAGAATAAACTAAGCCACTAGGTATCTCATACATACAATAATACTAGGGTAAAAATAACCAAGATCATTAATTCCTCTAAAGATATTAATTTTTGACTTTTAAGACACTAGCAACAAGAAGAATCAGTAACAATTTAGTTAGGTACAACTATACTTTCACTAAAGTATTTGTTCATGATAAAATATAATTTCTTGCTTTCAAAGGAAATGTTAGAAAGTATTTTGGGAGATGTGTAACTTTGTATTTTATAAGCAACAGCAACATTTCTTATTTTAATTTTCATTCTGTATTATATAACATTTTGATTATTTTGATTCATTATAACTAGGCCTCATTTTCTCAATGCCACAAGGGGCAGAGAAAAGTAAGAAGTTCTTTATAAATAAAAAATACTACTGCTTAAATTTTCTGAAAATGGGCACACTAGCCATATTGATTAATCTTATTTCTTCACCCAATGATAAATTCAACTACAAGGTAAGCATATATTATAGGTATCTATTCCTATTTAATGTTCCATTTTGATATTGTTTATGCCCATCATTCTATCTAAACATATTCCTGGCTCCCATTAAAATGGAAATGTCAGCAAAAAACACTGATTGAAAAAAAAAAAAAAAAAAACAAAACACCTCTTAAAACATTTCTTGAGCATAAGATGGGTAATACAAATGATAGGTGACTACTGCAAGCACTATATAACTAAACTCAATTTTAAATGGAGTATAAAATGTAACAACCTTTCTTCCTTCCATTTAACAGCAAAATAGTGTTAAAACCATTCTCTCTAAAATGAGCTTGAAAACAGACAAAAATCTGTTTTCAATTGTTGATTTATATTATGCCGATTCAGTACCCATGGTCTAAAGAAATAACTCATTACTTGGATTTCTTAACTACAGATTCCTTATTTCCTAGCACCTCATTGATATACAGCATTATTTCATAGCACAAATTAAAAATCTGTGATCACAACACAATAGTTTATATTAAAGAGCAAAAAAAAACCCAAAAAAACCAAGAACTCTTTTAAGTCTCAGTTAATAAAAGTGTCTCAAAATGGACTGGAAGATCTGGCCATTGCTTAGGTGTATCAAATATTCTCAACAAATCTTCAAAAATACTAGAAATCTAAAATATCTGTAGATGTATTCTCAAGGAAATTCATCATTTTGAATTACTCAAATTATAAGATTTATTTATTAGTTATCACTTTATTAGTTAACAGACTTATTTTCATGTCTTTTGTGGTCTACTAGGTCTAACCTTCAAAATATGCTTTCATTTTTAAATGACTAAATTATATCAGAAATTACTAACAAAATTATTAATCAGCCATGTAATTAGCCAAACTGTTATTTTTGACTAAACAAAATAAAATTTTAAAATAAAAAGCATTCTTAATAACATAAAAACCAAAAAGGGAGTTCTTAATTAATTCCATATAAAAGTAATTTATATTTTTATGAAGTGTTATATAAACATTATAACATATATTTAACAATAAAGATTACTCACATATGATTATTATTAAATCTTAAAATAATATACATCCCATCCAATTTCCTTTCATTGGAATCAATTAACATCTGACTGCATGTATGACTGAAATTTGTTTTCATTATATTAAAATAGTTTAGTCTAAAGTTTATTGTGAATAAGATAATAATTCATCAATGCATTGAGAGAAAAATCTTTTTAATGAATATTTTAAATATACCAAAGATATGTCTAATCCTAAAGATGGTATAGAAACTCAAAATATAACCAAGTCAAAAATTTTATAAATAAGCAAAAATAAAACTTAAAACTGAAAACCTGAAAATTACTTAAGTAATAATACTAACCTTAGAACCCTGGACATGCATTAGACAAAACAGACAACAGATCAAAAAAGTACAAGAAAAGGAAATTATTAAAATTAAATGAAAATACAATGTAAAATTGAAACACAAAATAATATATTTAAAAATTTTATTTAATTATTTTATTAGAAGCCAAGTTCTTAGAAGAGATATTCCTTTTATAAATTACATATGATTAAGATTAAATATCAAATATTTAGACTAATGTTTATTTTTTTCATTAGGGTAATTATGCCCAAATTTTATGTATATATATATAAAATTTGGGCATAATTACCCTAATGTATAAGTATATATATATATAGTTCATACACTAGAAATTATGCATATTCTATTTTATAAAATAAATATATATTCCTAGCAGATGCCTAAAGAAGCATTTTAATAAAAAAACAGATAAGATTTCTGTAAAAGCCCTAACTCAGTACTGGTTTCAGCAGAAATGACTTAAGGAAATAAACTATTTATACCAAACTTCCAGAATTTTCATTTAGGCATCATGTTATAATTTGTTTTCTAAAATATTTGGAGTCAAAGAATAAAATACTGTAGTGATTATAACTTAAAAAACATTTTTCTTTGCTAGAATAGAACTACTGATACACTAATCAGGCCTGCATGTGAACTAAGCTAATTACATAGATAATACACTAAATTTCAGAGTCTCAACTAAGAATTATGTTTAATATATTCAGAAGTTTGGCTAGAATTAAATTTCACAATAAAAGTTACCAATTTTCCTACTCTGATTTTTGACAACAAATATAAGTGAGCGTAAATTTCAAAAACAAAACAAAACAAAACAAAACACCATTTTCTTGGTACACTGTATAGGAAAATGCATAAAAGCCTCCTCAGAATACTACAGTATGTTCAGTAGTATGAGACAAAGGAAAAATTAATTTTTCCACATCTATTAACTCTACATTCTGATAATGGTAAGGAAATATAAACTAAAATTAAAACTTTATCATCATTTTTTGGACAGAAAATATTGCTCTTCTTTCATGATTATGAAACTATGAGGAAAGCCAGAAATATCAGTCACTACTATTTTTCTTAACAGACAAAATGAAACCATACCTGACCCTGAATTAAATTCTAAACAAACAGTGGTTTGGATGGTTGACCAAAATGATCAACTTAAAATCACAAAGTGATTATGCAATTTGTAGCTGGATCCATGTTCTTTGCTTCTCTTCATTTTTTTTTCTACAACTCCTTGCTTTCACTAATGACCAACTTGTATAATGTATAGAGAATAAAAGAAAGGGTTCAACTGACTAGTCATAGAAACACTAACTCTAAAAAATCAACAACAACAAAAATAATTCCTCTTTCCAAAACCAAAGATTGATCAAACTGAATACTAAGAAGTTTAAATTTTTTCCCTGGGTACTAAAGTTAAAACCATTGTTCTAATTTATAGAAATTATTTTGTAATTTATTTTCTATGCCACATAAGACTTAAATAGTCCAGGCAAAGCTAAAATTCCAAAAAGTCCTGCCTCTTCAATGAATATTAAGTTCAAGGTGTTCACTAATATTGCATGTGTATACATTTTTCCTTAAAGTTTCCACTGAAATGTTACTTACATTAATCTAAACTTTTCTCTTTTTTTGTTTTTAGTTTATTTATTTATTTTTAAAATAATTTTAAAAATATTTTAATAAACATATAATGTATTATTAGCCCCAGGGTTACAGGTCTGTGAATCGCCAGGTTTACACACTTTACAGCACTCACCATAGCACATACCCTCCCCAATGTCCATAATCCCACCACCCTCCCCCGACCCCCTCTCCCCCCAACAACCCTCAGGTTTGTTTTGTGAGATTAAGAGTCTCTTATGGTTTGTCTCCCTCCCGATCCCACCTTGTTTCATTTATTCTCTTCCTACTCCCAAACCCTCCGCGTTGCATATCCACTTCCTCATATTAGGGAGGTCATATGATAGTTGTCTTCTAATCTAAACTTTAATTGCATGACAATACTACAACAGCAATACACAAATGTTACCCCTAGTGGGAATTAGTATATTCATATGAGATCTCAGAGCAGAAAACAGACCACCACTATGCCAGTCCCACTGGGACGGCAGACAAAAAGACTATACCATGTAAATCTTTGCCATCAAAATAAATCACCCATTATAAATAAATTTGCCTCAAATATCCTATTTTAGAATTCTGAATATGGCAGATTATTTTACAAATGGGAAAATTACTCTATCATGACACAGTTCTGAATAAACAGTTTCAAAAAGAACTAAATGAAGGAAACATCAAGAGCCTCTTCTCCATCTAATGAGCTTTACACTTATTACTTATCCTAATTTTCACAAACTCCCTGTTAAATAAGCATAATTAACACTTTTTCATAATGAAGAAATTGTGAGGTCCTATCTAGTAAGTGGTAGAACCCAGATTAAAATACAGATTTATCTTGTGCCAAAATCCATATACTTTAATATTGAATCCTAACTCCAAAAAGATTATGTCTGAATCTGACTGATGATGGGAAACATGTTTGTTTTGATGAAAATGAAATTTCCATACTTATCTGTGATCCATACTTATACTGAGAAATGGGAAGGACATATTCCTAGGTTGAGCTTTGTATCATAATTTTTTTCAACAGAGAACTATAAAGAAAACCTAGCATTACCCTGTTTATGTGAACTGCTTATGACGTATGTGGAAAAAAAATCGTGTATTTTGGGGGGGATCCATTTCTGTGTTTTTGTTCTGTTCCATCGACTAAGCCTCTCTAAGATACCACACAGTCATGATTACTGCGTTTAATATACAATGATTCTTTCAAAAGTGTTTTAACTATCCCTTGTGAACTTTTTAAAAAATAGTCTTTATAACTACAAAAAATTTTGGTGGGATTTTGAGAGGAACTGTGATACATCTAAGTATCAATTTGGGGGCAAGTGTTACCTTTATTATGTTGAGTCTCCAACCCATAAACATGGTATAGTCTCCATTTATTTAGACCATTTTTGATTGCTTTTACCCATCTTGCATGCAGTTTTTGGAATAAAAATATCATATATTTATTGTTATATTTACAACTAAATATTTCATATTGAGCGATTACATAAGGTACCATATTTTAAATTCCTGTGTCCACATGTTTATTGCTAGTAGAAATAAATACAACTAATGTTGTTGTGCACCTTTCACCTTGGTAAAATGGAGAAAGACGACTACCTAGCATTCTACTTACCCTCTCAAAATTAATACAATTTCAACACTAGACATGTCAAATGCTACAAAAAATTAGCATGGCTGAATGTGAAAAGTTACATATCTTCTAATAGAACATAATGACCACAATGTTCAATGAAATTGTTTTAAAAATTAAAATTCTAAATTTCTAAAATTTCTAAATTTCTAAAATTCTAAAAATTCAAGTTCTTGTTTAGTAGGAAATAATGAGTTTATCTTAAGCCCTAACTATTGAATTTTCAATGGTCAGTAAATAAAGCTTTCCCACTAAAACATTATACTACAACACTTGTAATTTATCTGAGGATTATGCTCTACGTCAGAAGTCAGTAAACTATGACCCAGAAGTCACCCTGCCCCACTGCCTGTTTTTATAAATAAAGCTTTATTGAGACAAATCCACACATTCTGTTATGTAACTGTCTATGGTTGCTTTTGCAAAAAAGCAGAGTTGAGTAGTTGAGACAGATACCATTATAGCCCACAAAACTGAAAATAGTTATCATCTGACACATACAGAAAAAGTCTGCAAGTCACAGCCATCCATCATTATTCATATTTATTCATTAAATACACATCTGCATTATTCATAATGTATAAGTATTTTTAAAACTACACAAACCTAAACAAAATCATGAGATCACTCAAACATCAGTATCAAATGTTTCTAGGACTGAAATTATAATGGCATCTACATTACAGTGTTTCCTTTTGCTAACCTGTATACTGTCAATGCTTCCTTTTTCACTTTTGGATTTTTACAGGTTAAATCTACACCAAAAAGCTCTTTAGATATTCAGTTCTAATTTTCTTCTTTATTTGATCTCATCTTTCCCAACTTTCTCCCTCTACTACATTACAATTTTTAGCACAAATATTACACAATTAAGTAAAGAAAAACAATGCTCAGCAATCAGCACTAGTATGAAGTGGGACAAAACGTCTGGGTGTTTCTTTTAAGGAAGCCACTTACAACCAGCTGTTGTATAACCAGGCATAGGTACAATCAGCTAATGAACCAAAATGACAGAAATATAGAAATAGAAATAGAAATAGAAATAGAAATATAGAAATATAGAAATAGAAATAGAAATGAAAAAGATTTTCTACACCTGAATTCCTAAATCTGTTAAAAATATTCTAGGCAAGGGCACCTAGGTGGCTCAGTCAGCTAAGTGTCTGCCATCAGCTCAGGTCATGATCCCAAGGTTCCTGGGATTGAGCCCCATGGAGGGCTCCCTGATCAGTGGAGAGCCTGCTTCTCCCTCTTCCTCCCCCACCTCATGCTCTCCCTTGCTCTTGAATAAATAAATAAAATCTTTTAAAAAAAGGAATATTCTAAACAATAAGCAGTTTCAAACTGTAAAATACAGTGGTCTAAACTGTAAAGGTAATAATTTTGGAAGTCAAACCTCAAAATGTCAGTATCTTTATTATATATTCATTATAAAACAAAAAATAAGTAAATTTGGGGGGTGAAACAGTATGTAAATCATAACATTTATGGACAATTTATTTTGGTAATTTCCTATTATCTTTATCTTGATGAAGATCTTTTAGCTTAAAAAATTGGAAGATTATTTAGTAATACGAATATTCTAAGCCTATACAAATTTTAGTACTACTAATTTTATATAGGAGTCATTTTCAGTTCTGCACTAAATTTTAAAACAATATTATAAAATGAATTTCAATTCAACCTTTTAAAATTTCTTGATAACAAATGATTATTTAGAAAATATTAAAAATTTTTATATGATGAAGAAAAATGTCAGGAGAAAATAATGGTATTTTTCAGTTTTTAATGTGTAGAAGGGAAAAAGACCCTCCCTGTTTTAATATTAGAATGCATTTTGACAACAACTCTCGATTTACCTGAATTTGGGATAAATCACCAAGAGAAATCAGAGACTGAAGAGAAGGCATGGTAGGTATATTAATCTCACAGGATATCTACATTCTTCACATACCATCAACTATTTTTCTTCCAGGCTCCATTTCCTTGCTTAGCTGCTAATTTCATTAAGGCCCTAATAATGACGATCCATTTGCTGCTCTCCCTCTTGATCTAGATTTTGTCAACTTTTTGAATAAATTCATGGGTGAAATGAAAGTGTATGTGCCTGTGAGGGGGGAAAGATGTTGGGCATGCAATCTTTTGTTGCCAATCTTTAAATTTCAGTGATACTTTGGGGATGATGGCATTGAAAAAACTATAGAGAGAAAAGGAATCACGTAAGATAAGCTGGTTAATAATGTAATAAAGCTAGAGATTAATTTGGAAACACTGCTGCGCCAAGTAAAAGATATCTTAACAAAAGGGCCAGTTTCTCTGGAGAGAGTACTTTCTGGGCTCATGGATTAGTTTCCAGTATAGTGGCAGGAACACAATCAATACGCTAAACAGAGTTCTACATTCTTTCCTATCTGAGCAAGCAGCTATGGAGTCTTTTTTTAATATATATATAAATCAGAGATTTTTTTGAACTACAACTAAAATATAAAGTTAACAGTGACCTACTATATTTTAAACATATATAAGTAATGTTAAATGCCTTTCAAACTTATTAATAGATTTCCATGTTTTATCTAGAAAGACAGCTATACTTTTTAAATAAACGTTGAACTAGATAAAGTCAGATGCAAATGTTATTACAGTCCATATGTCTATAAAAAGTTGAGTTTTTTGAGGATTATGAAATTGTTCAGATAGCATAAAAATGGCATGTTATTTACATTTTTTTTCTGAGATGCCTAAGTTTTAAATAAGAATTCATTAAAATTAGGCTCCCTTTTAGAAGCAATTTGCTAGCTTCAAGATTAAATCTCAGAGAATAAGAATGTAGAAGTTCCACATATAGTTTAAAATAATACTAAGTTTAGAAATAATATTTCAATTCACATGAGGTTTTGCATATCTAATGACTTTTTTCTAAATTTAGATTTATGACTCTACTTACACAATAACCATGTGCTTGTATTTAGAATTTCAAGAGTAACAGAATAAAAATTTTAAATTCACCGTAATACGTATTTGAAGAAATAGTCAATATATAGAAAATAAAGTAAGTCACTTATAGTTATGGCTCTTCTTCAAAAGTACTCATCAAATCACCAGAGAAATGTTTCCATAAACACACATAGCTGAAACCCAACACTGACAAAAAGAAACGGGGAGAAGTTTCCTTAGGTGAATATGTCTCCTTAAAATCTATCCATTTACAACAGAAAACACTGACAGGCTCTAGTCAGGTAATTACAAAATACACCACTAGATGGAAGCAAAGTACTTACAGTTGGGGATGTAGCAGCAGAGAGCAAAGGTAAAATTCCTCCACAAGCAATAATGATGTTGTCTACCATTTGGGAAATGAGGTGAATTGTGTTATGTACAAAAATAATATTTTCATTGCTATTGACAAAATCCATTACAGACTTTGTGGAATGGCTAAAAGAGCAGAAAAACAAGACATAAATGAACATTTTCTTAGCTTAAGAAGTTAACTATAACATTTATAAAAGTGAAAAATGTTGAAGAGCTAGGCAAATTTAAAATGGAACTATTAGAAAAGAAAATAATTTAAAACTGAGATAGCATATTACCCAAAACTTAACATTCATCCTTGCAGAGTTGGGGGTATAGCTCAGTGGTAGAGCATTTGACTGCATCCTTGCAGAGTTTGTGTCCAAATGTATTAACTCATTAATGGGGGTTTCTGCTTTAAAAATAAGTGTGTTGACCAGATTTAGGTCAATTGATTTAAATTAGCTGAAGTTTATTTTCACAAAAGCTGGTTATTTTATGTTGAAATCAGTTTTCCTTATTTACCATCCTCAGGTAATCTAGAACAACTGGATAATTAACTCCAAGTTTACCTTTCAGGGAGTTTCTGTTTATCACCAGATTGCAGCCCCACCTGTGACCAGCCATACTAAAAATGTGTACTGCTAGTCACAGAAGTGACATGTTAGGGAAATATAAATAAATCAGTAAAAATTCAAGGACTTACTGAATAAAAAAATGAAAAAGATCTTAAAGGTCAGCAGTGCAGCTTTTCCATAAAAAACATGCAACTTAGATACCCAGAAAAATACACTGCTTTAGTTTGATGTCTGTCAAGAATATAAACTATTTTCTAATGGAAAAAAAGCGATTACTCCATGATCAATTGTTCTTTTTTGTTCAATTTTCTCAAATTTGGTCTATTTTCCAATTTTGAAGTTTCACTTTTTCCCCAACATCCCACAAACAGCTGTAGACGTGAAATGGTGTCCATGTGTCAAAGGGTCCGTCAAGGAAAGCTGCCAGTTGGTTTCCGTACTGATGCCAACAGCCAGTTCCGTCAACCAAAAGATTCAGTTTTAGGAAAGACTGAAAAGAAAGCTCATCACCCTATTTTTATAGGAAATCAGTGGTATCTGGTATGCAGTGGCTACTCCAATTTGGAAACAGGGCAAAGTGCTATAGGACTTAAACACTGTGACAGATCCAGTCAAGAAGATAGTGAAACCAACTGAGGCCTCATTCACTCCAAGGACTCAGCATTAGTTCACTAGGAGGTGTGTGGCCACTTTCTTCTCCTTGTGTGTGAAGTTAAGTAATGTTCACGGTATCTGCAATAAGGAAAAGACCTTCCATTGCTCATGATGCATCTTACTGACAGCAAAAATAATCAGTCATTCTTCTTTTCATATACATGACGGTGGCAAGAGGAGAGAACATGCTTGTCTAAGGATGCTTGGTTTGGATTTGGTTAAGGATAAATTCTCTGAAGACAAAGCATCAGCAACTGAATGGAATGCCAGATATCAGTTAATCTTTAGTGTAGCTGATACTCAATCTTCAGCATGATCAATTAAGTCAATTGATTCTCACTCCTTCCAATTGTAAACTATCATCTATAACATCTTAGATGTCAAGATGTTTACCCAATCCTAAAAATAAGTGCTATCTTTAAAAAAAAAATTAATTAGGGGCACCTGGTGGTTCAGTTGGCTAAGCATTTGCCTTCAGCTCAGGTTATGATCTCAGGGTCCTGGGATGGAGCCCTGCATCAGGCTCCCCGCTCAGTGGGGAGTCCACTTTTCTCCTTCCCCCTCTGCCCCTCCCTGTACCCGATTGTGCACATGCTCTCTTTCTCTCTCAAATAAATAAAAATAAAATCTAAAAAATTAAGTAAAATTCTGTTCAGGGAATTTTACGAGAGCTCATGAAAGAGAACAGAGACACATGGTATCTGTGTGCATGTTATGTTTCCATCCTATGTTAAAGGAAGGAAAGTGGACTAGCTCTCATTTGGGGACTACTAATATTGTAATTAGTAAGTTACAGTATACATCTCCACTGATAGTCATATTAATAGTAATGTATTTCATTGTATTCTAGTTTCCTTATTTAGTATCCATAGGTAATTTAGCATATAACAGCACTAGCAATGGAAAGACCATTGTTTCTATCACATAAGTAGACTAAGGACAAACTAATAAAATTTAGAAGTAAAAACATTCTATGGCAGACACTGATTGTTTTTCGATAATAGTTATTCCTTCTTCCCTGCCAACACAATCCAGATTTTGTTCTATTTTTGAGCTAATCAGGTATAGGAAAGGTTGTTCTTTCTCTAGTTAGTAGGTTACTAACCAGTATTGCTCTATATAAGCCAGTCATTATTACCCCATTTCCCCTTTGCTGGTGATTGACTGCTGGCACATGAGAGGTAAGGGGGAGATTTCTTGAGGAGCTTCTTTTAGAAAAGAAGAAGAGGGGGAGTAAGGAGTGGGAAAGGGAAAAAGTAGAGGAAAAATAGAGGAGGAAAGAACAGAGAAGAAGGAAAAGAAAGTGGGGAGAAGAAAAAAGAGGAGACAGAGGTGGAGGACGGAGAGGGAAAAAAGGAAGAGGAGAAATGAAGAAAGGGATGAAGGAGGAAGAAGAAGAGCCCCTGCCTTCTAGTTCGGGCAAGTTTCCTATGTTGAACTGGTGCTGGAAGGTGAATTAGCCACCTTGAATCTCAGAAGGAAAATTAAGAGAAGGAGAGAAGCCTCCTTCAGTCCAGAGAAGACCATGCTACTGACTGTTTAAATCAAGGACAGTGGGGTATTGCTACAGCTGTCAAATTCCTAATTTATGTGCATGCACATACAAATGATATACTCTCATAACTGCTTAATTTGTTGCATATTTGCTATTAGAAAATTAACAGAAAGTGAGGCAAGGTAATGATTTAACTTATGCAGACTTTGTTTTCCTTAAGTGATGATTTAATTTATGTAGACTGTTTCTTTAAGTGATTATATATGAAGTGATACTAACTACTTTAGGAGTAAAGGCTCTAAAAATAGATGCCATAAGGTGATCTAGATTTTATTTTAACACTATATGCTATAATCTTATTGCCAAGAATATATTTAGTATATGGTATTAATTTTAACAGAAAAAGAATAAAAATGTGGAAACAGCTTTGAACAAAAACTGAACCTTTCTATTGATATTGTTAAATCTCTTTTATATAGAGAATAGGCAATACCAGATTTCAAAATTTTGCTTTTTAATTGTCTAAAGCCTAAATTCTTGGATACCTTTGATATGAGTCCAAGGCCTTATAACCTTTGTGAAAATATTCATGTTTCTATATAAAATTTCAATGTTGGATTTTTAATAAGTTCAATTTTTGAGATTATTCAGTGATATAATTCCCTTATGGATCAACTGATGTCACTAATTTAAAATATTCATTTTCTTAAGTGAAAGCTGCCTTATTTAAGAAAAGAAATATTTCTACCTCCTCCAAACATGTACATCTGTTTCTAATGCAAACAGTAAGTCGGTGAGAAGTCGCTGGTGCATTGGAGACCATTTAAACTCAGGAATACGGAACATTGTAGTGCGTGGGCCTGGGCTGAACTGGCGCCGCTGTTCCTCAGTCATAGGCATTCCTCGAAATCCTAAATCGACGCGGAGATCTCTGTCCTGCTGTGTAATAGACCGGCCCTGAACAGCCTAGAGAAAGACAAGGTGAACTTTTGTAGACTGTGAAAGAACTGTCTCGTCTCAAAAAGAAAACAGCAAGTATAGTCAAGTGAGTGAGTGAGTAAAGATTTGCATATTACTTTTGTAAGTTAATATATTTTATATATATTAGTCATCTGGTGATTCCCTGGACAGAAACCTTTTTAAGCCGAAGAGGCCACTTTGATTACTTTTATTTTGCTGTTTCAAAAATTAGGCAAGGCATTCAAAGACCTCAGTTCCAACACCAAGGTTCACATTGAAAACCAAGTCCTCTTTACTCCTATTTATGGAGTCTACATATTAGACCACATTTCTTCCTTAGGAAAGAAAGCATATAACTCAAATTGAAATATACTGGATATATGTCATCAACTAACTATAACTGGAAACACAAGATTAAAAAAAATATTACTTGAACTGATTCAAGTTAATTCAAAAGTCTATTTCATTCACAATACTTCAATTTAGAAAAACAGTACATCTATTTGATAAGTTAGAAAACCAGAAAATGGCTACAAACTCTACATGAAAACCAGGCAAGCCCAGTGATGATCATGTTGAAAAACAATGCACCACGCTTTCCTTTCTTTTAAGTCTCCTAATGCAGTGTTTTCACTCCCTTCCAGTTATCACTGTGGTACAACTGCCACAAAAAATGGAAAATAGCATTCAACAAAAAAAAAAATTAAAATAGCCTTCCCATACACAGAAGATATTTTTTGTTTGTTTCTGTTTTTATTTTCCAAACACAGAATATAATACTATCATTAGAGTACAAAGAAAGGTATGGTTTACTCTTTATAATTCTAATGGAAACATGTTAATTTTGTCTTTGAGGACATTAAAGGTGAGTGGAAAACCTGGAAAACCACCAAAAAACAAATCATTAAGGGTTAAAGTATTTTTCAACTCTTAACCGTAAGCAATTTAGTCTAGAAAATAAGGAAGTAGTCTTAAAACTCAAAGCTCCACAATTAAAATTCATATCAGAAAACATCATCTATTTTTAGATTTATGCTGGTGAGGCCAGAACTGCAGCACTAACATTTCCTCACTGCCAGACCTAAGAGTCTTTAGTTTTCTCATAACAGATTCCTAGCCATGTCGTTGTAAAGAAAATTCTCACTGCTAATAACGCAAAATTTCTTAGCCAATTACCTACCTCACAGGGTGGTTGTGAGGATTAAATCTGAAAACATACAGCAAGCACAGTGCCTGGAACATAGTAGGCACTTGCTAAATAACAGTTCCCTTTTCCCTTCCCCTTCATTTATCAGTTCAATCTGGGCTCCAAGTCCTCTTTTCAGAACAAGGTTGGGTCTGAAGCTTAAAAGGTTAAAATTAATCAAGTATTCAGAATGAAGATCTTGAGTACAAAACGTGTAAATTTAGTCACAGAGTCGTAAGATATCAGAATAGGTAAAGCCCTAAAAGGTCATATTTTAATAGAGTAGAACCTCTTGTACTGTATAAGGAAATGCAGGCCCAGAGAGTTTCAGCCAAGTTACACAGACAAAACATGGCAGAGCTCGAAATACAATTCAGGTATCTTAAATGTCTCTACCACACTATTTGACTCCATATATTACTACAATACTATAATTAAGTATAAACATGGTGTAACTGGTAAGAAATGACTCTTACAGCTGTAGTGTTAACAACTTGCTACCTGTTCAATGCATTTTTAGAACTCATATAGGATAACTCACTTGCGTTGTAGCAGTGGTCTGGATTTTTCGGATTTCCTTTCCTGATTCCTTGCCATCGTCAGATCTCTCAGTGTCTGAAATTATACTTCCAGCATCAATATTTGGTACAATTTTGCTACCAGATGACTCAGTTTCCAGAGTTGTAGCAGTCATTTCAGCATACTCTAACCCTTTAGAGGAAGACGCTAAGTCTCTTTCAGAAATACTGCTCATTCCATCTGAAGTTGTATGGATTTTGAACTCTTTTTCTTCTATTATACTTGATGTACAACTTAAATCTACACTACCAGTCATGTGAGCAAGCAATCCAAGATCATCACTAACACCCAGATGTACTTGTGTATCCTGGATATTTGGAATAATGTGATTGCTAGAAAGTTCAGGAAGAAGTTTCTCCTCCTGTTTGGGTATTTTATCAAAGAGAAATGACGTACTACTATTAGGAAGTTCATCTTTCTCATCTGCTAATGTTATCAATGGACCATTATCCTTTTCTTCATTTTTTTTAATGATACCAACACTTCCATGTACATTGTTCTGGAGTTTTTCAACAGCAGCACTATACACATTATCCAGCAACGATTCAACCTCCACAAGGGCACCATTTTCTCCACCGACTAAAGTCTCCGGTGATAAATCCATATCATCGAGCTTTACTTCTGTTGCTTCTACTTTCTCTGCTTTTATATCAACTAAAAGATCATGCACTTCCACGTGTACACCACTTCCCGGTCTATCTGAATTTCCAAGAATATCATCTGGCACTTTTGTTGACATGAGCAAGTCTCTAGTATCTGTGCTGACAGGGTAATCTGTCTCACTTTCTGGACTCTGGCTTTGTGAAAGATCTTCTATCTCTCGAATTTCCATTCCACCTTTTGCTCCTGTAGTCTGTGATGAAAGACCAGAGATGGTGCTCACATTCCCTTTTTTTCCCTTTTTAATGTTTTCCTCCTCTTGTCTCTGATATTCTTCATACATTTTGGCTAGGTATTCCTTATGTGCTTCATAAGTGACCTTAGGAATAAGTGAAAAAATTAAGGCATTTTATATACATACCGAGAAGAAAAAAAAATAGAAATAAAGTTATGATAATAGAAAAAGTATCAAAATTTTAAGATTTCAAAATGTAGTACATATTAATTTTAAGATAAGTTCTATTAAGTAATTGGAAATAATCATCAAAAATAGATATGACTTATTATATGACCTGTAAACTAGCAAAATTAAAATTTTAAGTACAGCAATCTTTTCTTCTAGATTATGTCAATGTTACCCTAACCAATGTTACTCTAACCTAATATGTCAGTTGAACTCTTACATATTTGAGTTCAGCTAAAACAGAAAATCAGCTAATAATATATAATATCCAAAGTACTATTGCTATATCAATTTTCAGCATCTATTACTCACATGTGTGTCTATTTCCAACATAGTCTTAAAACATTTAAGACTTTTTAAAAATCACATATCTATAAATATATACATTTTAAACTGTTAAAACATCACAATTTTATCTTTATATAAGCTACTTTAATTGGTTACTTTACATAGACTTGTTTAAAAATAATTATGATATATATTTTTTCACAAAAATGCAATGTTTTTTCTTATAAAATACTACTTTAAAATTTGTTAATGTAATGATAAAAGGTGCCAATATATTGTAATATGTAAGTTTTAACAGAAATAAAAAAGCTCTTCTAAAATTGAAAACAATAGGGGCGCCTGGGCAGCTCAGTCTGCCTCCAGCCTCAGGACATGATCCTGGAGTCAAGAGATCTAGCCCCTACGCAGGCTCCCTGCTCAGCAGTGAGTCTGCTTTCCCCTCTCCTCTGCCCCTACCCCTGTTCATGCTTGTGCCCTCACTCTCACTCTTTCTCTCTCTCGCTCACTCTCAAATAAGTAAGTTTTTAAAAACTTAAAAATAAAATTGAAAATAATAAAGTTCAAAATCTTTCCTTATAGGTACACATTATACTGACATATATTTAAATGAGAATAGGATTTTAGGTTGAGAGGGATCTTCCTTTGAAGATTATCTTGAAACCAAACCCCCTTTACTTTACAGAAGAGGAAATCAAGTCCTGAAGTGGGGGCTAACAAACTATGACCCATGAACCAGATGTGCTTTTTACCTGTTCAGTAAGTAAAGTTTAATGAGAACACAGCCATACTCAGTTTTCTACATACTGCCTATGGCTATTTTCACACTACATGGCAGAGTTAAACAGTTGCTTCAGAGGCTGTACAGCTCCCAAAACCCAAGATATTTACTATCTGTACATCTTAAAAACATTAAAAAAATTTTTTCTAATCCTTGCACAAAAGGACTAAATGCATTTTCTAAAGTCACAAAACTGAACTGTGGCATAGACTTAGAGTAAAAGCCAAACTTCTAACACCCATGCTTTTTCTATGGCTCCACATAATGAGAAATGTTATAGAATATAAAGTGCACAATTGTTTATTGTAACCCACTACTCTTTCTTACCAAGATCAGATAACATTTAAAATATAGATATACAAATTCTTAGAATTAAAAAGAAAAGATAATGCAATTAAAAATACCATTAAACTTAAATACTTAATTATGATTCACTTGGAAATAAAGGCAATTTTTGACTACTTTTTTAAAGTCTTAAAACATATATTTCAGAGTATATTTCATGAAAACTCTTTTAAGAACCAGTAGGTATGTTTTAGGTAAAAGAGCTATTGACTCAGACTCAAGCTATAAAATAAAGGTGGGGTAATTTGTGGGGTCTAAAATTCCTAATTCATAAACCTGGGGTTTCAGTTAAATTATCTACAAAACATTTCATGCTCTAACAGTTTATAAATGGAGAGAAAATAAAACCAAAAACAAGAGAGAAAGGGGAGATAAAGGAATGGGCCATGAGGTAAATTGTCCACAAGATGGCACCAGAAGAGTGTTTACAGACATTCAAACTGCAGCTGAAACACAGATCTAAAATACTGAATCTCTTGTTACCTTGGAATGGGCTATTGAGAGCGTATCCACCCAGACTCTCCATCCTCCCCATTCATATTTTATTGCATGGTACAACAGAATTCGGAAGATATTGTAGACCATCTCGGTAATCTTCTGTTCCTCAGAATTTTTAGGATTGATATAGCCAAGAGAAAACATCCAATCCTGCCATACTGAACACTGCAATAAGCATCTAGTGGGGAAAAAACTCATTAAAAACATCTAATTTATATTAGAATTTACTATTTTGAAATTTAGATAGTGAAAATATGATCTGACCTAGATAAAGTAAGGTGCACAGTCATTCTGCACATTCTATTTTCTATACCTAGGAAGATTTCCTCCCATTTTTCTACCTGGAAAAATCCAAATTATCATTTCAAATTGGTTTCCTAACACTCCCAGTCAGATTTAGCTACTGTTTCTCTACTCCCCATCACATGTACCACTCACAATGCACTTAATACATTATATATTAATCACTGTTTTATTACCTTCCCCAATAAATTGTACCAAGACTATATACTAAGATAACCTGTGCAGCGCAGTGCTTTATATGTACTACTCAATAAGTATTCGTGAAGATAAAGACTCACGAAGCCACCGTAGCCTTAGATTATACCCCATGTCTTAGCTAACCAGCTCAAAACTGCATGATAACAATCAGTTATCAGACAAAAATTGAGAGAAGCATAGATGAATATGAACAAATCCAACTTGATTACAATAGATAGTTATCACCAAAAGGAATGGTGAATTTTAAATAAGGGTTTGTGAAAATGTATATTTACCGACACAATTAAAAAATAATACCCACATAATCACATAAAAATATAATAATGAATATAAATATAATGAATGTTGATTATATCAAAGAAACATAAAATGCCGTTTCTGATAATTACAATTATTTAGCAATATGGGAAAAATTTGAAAACATATTTTGAAAGAGACTGAAAATAAAGGCGAGAATATCATTACAGAACAAAGTTTTGTTATGGTATTGAAACTGCTTACCTTCTATTTTCACGGCTGTTACTGAAAAGTTTTATCATATCAGATAAAAATAAACGACGAACTTCCATCAGTTCTGGACTTGGTGTAGAATTTTTTAACAGAGTTGCCACCACCTTAAGAATCACTGTGAATGAACAACAACAACAAAAAAGAAGTCAAGACTTATAACTGCATCATAACTTCCCCTTAAAAAGTTTTACTCATTTTCAACTTAGCCTTATGATAAGTGAGTTATAAGTATCATGAACTATGGCAATCACCAGTTATGCAAAGTTTTGATTTAGTTTTCCATGTTACCATGTTACTATTGCGTTACAATAAAGAATGTTTGGCTAGCTTCAAAAAATAATAATTACAATAAAGAACATTTGGCTAGTATCAAAAAATAAGAAATAAGCTGTGGTGAGGGATGTGGAGAAAAGGGAACTCTCATGCACTGCTGGCGAGAATGTAACTTGGTGCAGCCACTGTGAAACACAGTATGAAGGGCCCTCAAAAAATTAAAAATAGAATTATCTTATGATCCAATGATTCCACTACTGGGTACTGACCCAAAGAAGATGAAACCACTAATTCTAAAAGATGCATGTACCTCTGTTCACTACAATATTATTTACAATAGCCAAGGTATGGAACCAACCTAAATGTCCATCAGCAGACAAAAAGATGTATATACACACAATAGAATATTAGTCATTAAAAAGAATGAGATCTTGCCTTTGCAACAACATGGATGGACTTAGAGGGTACTATGCTAAGCGAAAAATGCCAAGTACCGTATGATTTCAATTACGTGTGGAATCTAAAAAAACAACCAAAAAGAAATGGACTCATAAATACGCAAAACAAACTTGGTGGTTGTCAGTTGAGAGGAGGGTAGAGAGATGGGCAGATGAGAGGTGAAGGGAATTAAGAGCTGCATACTTCCAGTTACAAAATAAGTCATAGGGATGAAAAGTATAACTTAGGAAATATAAGGGAAAAAAATGCTGTTTGCTCACTTGGATTCTGAATTTTCACTGTAGAATCTGGCTCTGGATGTGGTTTGTGTACAACTTGAGTACATACTTGCTCTGTCAAGATCTGAAAGATGAAGAATTTGAATTTCATTGAGAAAATAATTTAAAATCATTATTTCAAAATACACAAAGAATCTGCAAGAAATGTCAATTCTGTCAAAATCAAATGAAATCTTCTTCTAAAGTGTCTTCCAGTAATTCCACATCTTCTTTAACTCTTTAGTTTCCAAATTCTGTTTATTATGGATAAAGACAAAAAAGAACCAATACCTATAGTAGGAAGGATTATTAGGAAATCCAAAAATTTATTGTTTGAAATATCTTCACAGTGTACTTCCTTAATATACTTAAACTATGAGTTGTAAACATTTGACTCTTTATGTCATCATTAATTTTAAAAAACTTAGAAAATAAGTAAATTTTAAAAATAATGTATGATCCGGGGCGCCTGGGTGGCTCAGAGGGTTAAAGCCTCTGCCTTCGGCTCAGGTCATGATCCCAGGGTCCTGGGATTGAGCCCCGCATCGGGCTCTCTCCTTGGTGGGGAGCCTGCTTCCTCCTCTCTCTCTCTCTCTGTCTGCCTCTCTGCCTACTTGTGATCTCTCTCTGTCGAATGAATAAATAAAATCTTTTTAAAAAAAAAAAAAAAAGAAGGAAAAAAAAATAATGTATGATCCTGGGTCCTAACATCAAAATGAAGTGTGGGAGAGGAAAAATCTTTATTAAAAATGTGGCTCATTGCCATTTACCCATGAATTTTTCTTTAAACTTTTTTCAAAAACAAAATGACAAAAAGTTGACCAAATCAAAAATAAAATTCTAAAACATTTTTTAAATTTTTCCACTAAAATGCAGTCTCTATGAGTGCTGGATTCTTATACATCGTTTTTACTATTATATTCCTAGCAATCAGCACGGTGCCTTACACAGTGCCAATACTCAAACATTTATGAAATTTAAGCATGGATAACTGAATTATATATAAATAATGAATATGTGACTTTTTACTGTATTTTAGGCTTTATCTTGTATATACCTCTATTCCTGCATATATAAAAAAAATCTAATGGGACTATACTTAATAAAGATGTAATTTTATATTAGTGATTTAATTTCCTGTTTAACTTAACATACTAAGTTCTGAATGAAACTTTGGGTTCACCCCAAGGTAAGGTAAAAAAATCTGTGAATAAACCATAAAAGTTAGTTGAGAGCCTAGTTGTACCTAGCTATTTTGTAAAAGTTGGGGATGGAGAAAAGTAAATGAGCCAGAGATGATCCCATCTGATTAGAAAAAGACCATAACAGCAGTGGCATTTTTCTGACCTTTCCGCTCAGACTTGAGAAAAAAGAAGAAAAAGAAGAAGATAAGAAACTGACTTATTACATATCAGGGATGTTTATCAAAAAGGTATTGACTTGAAATAAATACTAACCTACTACTAAAATGATAAATATAGACCATAAGGACCTCCTTCACTCTCATGAAACACTTTGTTGTTAATACCAAACAGGGCCTCAGAATTTTCTCAACAGAGCACTACAGACATGCACTACTAATTAGACTGAACTGACACATGGGACAGAAATTTCTTTGAAAATCCAAAGAATCTGAAAATGCCAAAGAACATTCAGCGGTTGGTATATGCTTACAAGGTTTTCCCATTGATCTGCCCAAAAAAGCACTGGTGTGGACCTACAGCTGAGCAGACAAAATCCCTAAAATTCTGGTTATAGATCGATACAAAATAAATGTAGACAAGCTTGGAAAAGACTAAGCCATACTCTTCCATGATAGAGAATAGTCAAAACTTACTCACCCCAAAAAGAAGAAACCTCATTATACAGAAAACAAAAATTATCTCAAGGAATCTACAGTTTTACATTTTCCTTTTTAAGTTCCTATTTGATCTTCTAAAGATGAGGGTAACAATTGCCTTGCCTATCTAATATAAAACTGCTAGGAAGATCAAATAAGTAAGGCTCTACATGTGAAAAGTATTTTGAATACTATCACATATTCACATAAAAGCTTTTTTAAATTACCAAAACATATTTAGAAACTCAATCCAGCATGTATTTAAAAGAGCCCTTTATGTGTCCACACTCTGCTACATGTTTGGAATGAGAAACGTAGTTGCTGTATTTCAAGAATCAATTACTTAATTAATACTCCAGAGACAGGCAAAAATATATGCTCCTGTTAAATAATAAAACATGATAGACTGTCATTAAGAACCTATGTGAGTTTTTAAAAGGGAGAGGGAAATAATGAGATATAAATAAGAAGAGATGAATATAAATGTAAACATTTTAATGAAAGGATATGACTAAAAGATGGGCCACGGAGGTTTGACTGGTATTGATTAGAGATACACACAGGAAGTAACCCCAGCCCCTAAAAAAACAAAATAGTACAAAATGGACAGAGCCACATATGGACATGAAATCCTTCAGAGCACATCTCAATTCACATTAGCCACATTTTAAGTGTTCCGCAATCATCTTTACATCTTTTATACAGTGTTGTCTGTTATATACTGTCAAAAGGTCTAACTCACTTTGTCCTTTAATATTGTCACTTATTGGGGCACCTGGGTGGCTCAGTGGGTTAAGCCTCTGCCTTCGGCTCAGGTCATGGTCTCAGGGTCCTGGGATCGAGCCCCACATCAGGCTCTCTGCTCAGTGGGGAGCCTGCTTCCCCCTCTCTCAGCCTGCCTCTCTGCCTACTTGTGATCTCTGTCTGTCAAATAAATAAATAAAATCTTTAAAAAAAAATATTGTCATTTATTCTACTATAGGTATTATCAAATGTAGAATTTTAAAGTGCACAGTGACACTGAACTTGTCTTAATGGCCTTCTAAAAACTTGGCAAAAACCTCATCTTCTAAAATATCATTATCAAAACCATAGGTTTGACATAGTTCTTTATTATTTCTGTACTTGATTTTATGTTTTTCTACTGTTGTAGTGATATTTATTTTGACACATTGTTTGGGGTTAAGGTCATTTCCCCAAACTAAGACAGAAAATGAAAGTAAAAAGAGCTTTCAAACTGAAGATTATCAACCAAATGCTTCTTGCCAGGGGTGTAGGTCCTGGTTGATGCTCAAAAGGGTTCAAACTCATTCAGGCTGCAGGTTTTGAGGCTGAGTATTCTTTTTATAGTTAAATTTCACTTACTATGTTAATGAGAATTAAGTTTAAACCTATAACGAGTGTTAACTTTCTGCAACCAGAGGCCACCGTCCAAAACAGTGTAGTCTGTTAACTTTGTGATCTAGAATTAGTCATCCACTATCCTGTCTGATAACATAATGTTTATGTTGAAGACCCTTTCCACTTTTTTATGGGATCAACAGTGCTACCCAATCATATCATAATCATTTTTCTTTTTTTATTTTTTGTATACTTATGTTAATTTTTCTTTTTGGAGTATCATAATTTAGTCCATCTTTCCAATTAACCATGATTATTTTTCTACTTTAAAAGTATATATTGCCAAATTGGTCAGAGACCTTGTAAGTCAGTTCCTTCATCTGCATCATCTAACATCCAGTATCAGGAGATCCAAACTTATCCAGATTTCTCCAACTGAGACATGGAATTAGCAGCAGTTTGGCTTTGTAGAATATCATTAGAGACTAAAATCTGGACACTAAGAGAGTGCATAGGAGTATAGATGGTAGGTAAAAATGCTGCTGCACTTGCTGTTGAGCCGCCTTCAGGAAGACTAATAGAAATATGTGTGTACACACACACACACACACACACACGCACACAGAGGGCATTTTCCTTAAGGTTAAGAGTACATAATGTTTTCAAATTTGACATATTACATTGTTATGCTACATTCCTATTTTAATATAAGGTTTCACTGACTACCAAGACTTTCTGCTCTACTGATACTAATTGGTCAAAACAAGCAGAGGGTCAAAAATGTAGACAAAAAATGATTTAAAAAACATGTATACGAATCATTAACCAAGGGATTTGTCTAAAAAAACCAAGATAGAAACACAGATAGAGCTCTAATCTGATAATGTAGCAAGGTTTTGATTCAGAGGACTTTAATGTTGTCCACTGAAGGTAGACACTGTCGTTTTTGGCCTTATAGTATGAACTGTGCCTATTTTATGACAATCTACTAGTGGTGAGACAGAGCAAATTGTTCAACCTGTGATTCTCAGTTTGTCTGTTTAAAAAGGCAAGAAAAACAACCCAGTTTCAGAGGGTTGTTGTAATGATCTGAGATAATGTATATAAAGTATTTATACCAGAGTGACTGTCACAGGAAATATACCCTCAAAACAGTTACTGTTATTAGGGAAATATAATATCAGAATCAAGATGCTTTGCATAGGGTAGGCGTTTCTATTCAGTTCTGTAGGCCAAATATTGGAGCAATACTAAAAATCTACTATTACTCACAAAAGCTGGGTTCTAGGGGATAAGAGTTTATAAATCATGTAATCAGAGGAATAATAGACATAAAGTTACAATATTAAGCTTAGAAATCAGAGTAGCCAAACGAGTTTTTTAATTTATCTAAAAGGCAGCCACTCTTAAATTTACTGATGATAACAGAAAACAGAAAAATGATGAAATAAAAGTGAAGCAATGTGAATCTGGGGTCAAAATATTATTCTGGATACCATCTGTTTTTTTGTTGTTTTTTTAATTTTTTATTTCTTTACAGCCTAACAGTATTCATTGTTTTTGCACCGCACCCAGTGCTCCATGCAGTCTGTGCCCTCTCTAATACCCACCACCTGGTTTCCCCAACCTCCCACCGCCCGCCCCTTCAAAACCCTCAGATTGTTTTTCAGAGTCCATAGTCTCTCATGGTTCACCTCCCCTTCCAATTTCCCTCAACTCCCTTCTCCTCTCCATCTCCCCTTGTCCTCCATGCTATTTGTTATGCTCCACAAATAAGTGAAACCATATGATAATTGACTCTCTCTGCTTGACTTATTTCACTCAGCATAATCTCTTCCAGTCCCGTCCATGTTGATACAAAAGTTGGGTATTCATCCTTTCTGATGGAAGCATAATACTCCATAGTGTATATGGACCACATCTTCCTTATCCACTCATCTGCTGAAGGGCATCTTGGTTCTTTCCACAGTTTGGCGACCGTGGCCAGTTTTTGTAAACAGATACAGTGCAGTTTTATTGGACAGCATGCTCATTTGGTTCATATTGTCTATGGCTGCTTCTGAGCACCACCTGCAGAGATGAGCAGTTCCACAGACACCACATAGCCTGCTGCTACAGACTGCAAGTTTGTATCCCCACAAATTCCTCTGTTGAAATCTAATCTCTGGTGTGATGGTATTAAAAGATGTGGGGTCTTTTAGGAGGTGTGTAGGGCCACAGAGCCCTCATTAGGAAACCTAAGAACTCCCCTGACACTTCTGCCATCTGAGGACATAGTGAAAAGACGGTTTGTGAACCATGAAGTGAGTCCTCACCAGACACCAAATCTGCCATTGCCTTGATACTGGACCTGTTAGCCTCTAGAACTGTGAGAGAAAACTTCTGTTGTCTATAAGCCACCCAGTGTATAGTATTCTGTTACAACCCAGACAAACTAAGACTACCACAAAGCCTAAAATATCTATTATCTGGCCCTTTACCAGAAAAGGTCACCGTCCCCACCTATGATAAACATTTGGCTTTCTGTATTTCATAGAAAATAGTGAGGTCAAGTTTATATGGCCATCTCTTAGAAATGGTGAGAAAAGGATTTCTGAATTGAAATGATGAGATCTATAGCTTCCTTCCAGATAGTGCTTTTTACAAATCATTTTTACCTACAGTATAACCCACTATCAACTCAAGGTTAATGTTGGTAATTGCAAAGGAGACAGAGATGAAAAGAATCAGCAGAGGGCAAGGGAGAGAACTAACATATAATACATAATGGGTGTGATTCATGTGAGAAAAGCTCTGCACAAAGTCAATCAGCCAACTCACACTCAAAGAAAAGTCCTTGGACCAACACAAAAAGATTGGCAAATAAATGTACATGAATATGTTTTAAAATAAAAATTTTAAATGTAAGTATGTGTTCATTAAAAAAAAAAAGTTACTGGCTTTTTGATTAATCAACAACGTGATCCCAATTACATAGAAGCTTTCCACTAAATACATTTTATTTTTTCTTTCCAAATATTTTATTTATTTATTTGAAAGAGAGGTCACAAGTAGGCAGAGCATCAGGCAGAGAGAGAGGGGGAAGCAGGCTCCCTACCGAGCAGAGAGCCCAATGCGGGCTTGATCCAGGACCCTGAGATCAAGACCTTAGTCGAAGGCAGAGGGTTAACCCAATGAGGCACCCAGGTGCCCCTCCATTAAAAACATTTTAAATTATCATCACACATTTTTTTTAAATTTTACCTCATAAAGTGTGTTGTATGTAGTGACAGTCACAGTGTTTGTATGCAACATCAGCCTTTCTCCAAGAAGAGTGAAAAGACTATGAGTATGCATAATTTCCACTTTTCTCCTGGAGAAAAAGGGGGGAAAAAAACCAAAAAACTATGAAATACATTGTATTTTCTAATCACATGACTTTGGGATAAAAGTACAATCTATTAAGCAGATATAGAATCATACAGGTAATTATTTTTACTAACTTCCATCTACCAAAAACAAACCAGTTTATACCACAGCTATCTTCTAAAGTTATAAAAATACTATTTAAACACTTCTTAAATAAAATGTAAAATATACAAATTATAAATTATACAAATGTTGACAGCTATTATTTTCAGATTTCTTATTAACTATTTATGAGTTATTTTTATTAGGTTAAAACTACTGGTTTCCCCTAACAGAGACCAAAGAATTTTTAAATCCTTTCCGTCTAAATATAAGTCTATAAAATAATCTGTGATAAGTTTTAATATCAAGAATTTAAAATTATGGCTAAAAATGAGTACTCCAGTTTGATGTTGGGATTACACAGCAAAGTAATACAACAGAAGTAAAGGGGACTCATTATTGCTTGTATTTGTGGCCTGCCATTGGATTTAAAACCAAACAAAGAAAAAATACCAAAAAATTTTCTTAGTTACTTACTATTCGTTCATTTAACTGTCTCCCCCCTACCCCCAACCCCCACTAAATCCATAAATAGGATAGAAGGCTCTACTAGAGGCTTTCTGCAACACTTGGCTCTAGTTCAGGGAATTGCTATATGCCTCTCATTTGTATTACTGTCACAGAATCCAAGATCTGATCTTCTTGGCTCTCAACCCGAGATATTTCATTTATTACCTTGATTTTTCTATTGTTCCCTGTTCAGATCTGGCAAATACGACATAAGCTGCCTAGTATTCACCAATTCTTATTCCTTTCTTCCTGAGTCCAAAATTGTACTATTAATTTCAGCCTCTCTTACAGCCAGGTGTGACCATTTAACTGAGCTTTAGCCAATGGAATGTGAACAGAAAAGTCATGAACCATTTTCAGGCCTGGTCAATAGAATAGCACTCATGCATGTCTTCCATGCTCTTTCCCCAAGGCAGAAACACAGGAGCCACATGATGAAGACAGCGAGGCACAAGATGGAAGCAGTAGCCTGGGTCTCTAAATCACAGCTTGCAAGAAAATTGCCTGCTAAGTAATACCCATTTAGATTTTCAGTGAACAAGAAAGAAACTACTAGTGTGATAAGTAACATTTCATTGTTCGTCTGTTAGAGCAGCCATTGTTACCTTAATTAATACAGAAATCAAATAATCAACCATATATCTGGATATGACTCACCTGGAAATCCCCTCTTCTAAGATCAGTCTCCAAGCTCCATGCTGCACAACAAAAGACACAAGGCAGCTGTCTCCCCTCACCTACTCCTCCTCAGTCCAGGAAGGGAAACAGCAAAATAACCTAAACCCAAAGCTTAGGCATTTGTCTTGTGGCTGTGTTTGCAAAACACTTAATAAGTAAGATTTAAAAAGTCAACTGGTCATAAAAAAATAAACCAGGACTAATGAATACTATGGGATTATAGAGGGGAAGGTTTTATTTCTCTTCTAATTCAAGCTACACCCAAGGCAAGGAGAACTTAAACTTTAATTTGCTCCTAATCCAGAAAGAAGAAAAAAAAAAAAAAAAGCCAAAGAGTATTCTTTAATATATCTCTCTGATACATGAAGCTGGTAAAAGTTACCCAAATTAGGCTATGTGGAATAGCCTAATTAGGAATTTACAATAATCTCTTACCTGCACCAGTACAGTTTCAGCTACTAAAAAAAATCCATGCCCTCCGGATTATCTCCCACAGTGTAAATATTTACAGAACAGCTATACTCTAGGCCTTGCAGGGTGGGGGTGGGGTGGGAGACTTGAAGAATGCTCTGCATATACCAGAGAAGAGATGGATCAGCTTCCTCCTGCAGTTTGCTTTAAAACGATGTTTACCAGTAAATTTTGCTGCACGGCAGTCAAAAGATAGCAAAAAATGCCATCCATTATCTCGGACAGAGTGTGGGTGTGCTATCACATGATTTTGTTTCCCACAGAAACCCTATGCATTCAGCTCTGAAAAGTTCAATAGGGCATATATGAGAGAAACTAACATCCTGACCCTACTTAACTTTAAGACCTAAACAGACTTCAGGCCTATTTGTCCACCTCTGAATTTTATGCAATTTCTGTCCACTCAGATTAAGAATGTAATCTTTTTTTTTTTTTTAAAGATTTTATTTACTTATTTGACAGAGAGAGATCACAAGTAGGCAGAGAGAGAGAGAGAGAAGCAGACTCCCTGCTGAGCAGAGAGCCTGAAGCAGGACTCGATTCCAGGACCCTGAGATTCCATGACCCAAGCCGAAGGCAGAGGCTTAACCCACTGAGCCACCCAGGTGCCCTGAAGTTTTGTGTTTTTTTTTTGTTTTTTTTTTTTTTACAAAGGCTAAACTTTTAATCTCATACAAAGTACACATTTATTAGTTTACTGAACATTCCAATGAATACAGACTCCAATTTTCTTCTTCCCAAAACAAACCAGCTTTTCTTCTGGATGGTCAAAAAATATTTCTTGTAACAAACTCGGACCATATGTTGGAAGAAGAAAAAGGTAAAAGAGACCCATAACTCCATAACGTAGAGAAAATCATTATAAAGTATCAGTTTAGGTTCTGCTAGATGAATTATTATGCATATAAATATAGATGACAAATACAGATGGTATCAATGTAATGAAAATAATTCTATATAAGGTAATATATAGCTCTTTTTTCCTTTAAATCAAGAATATATGCTATCTTGAATATTCAGTTATTAAATATAATAAGTACGCAGCATAATATATGCATTCATTACTGTTGGCACGTATGGTATTTCCAATTTTTTTCTATCATCAACAAAATTTTGCCCTTGTAGGTAAATCTTTGAGCATATCCATGACTATTTCCTTAGAATAAATTCTTGTAACTGGAATGATGGGTGTTAAAAGCATTTATAATTAAATTTATGAGACTTTGCAATTTATGACCTCCAAAAATATGTACATTCATACTTCCACCATCAAAACGTAAACACAATTTACCAGCAGCTCCACTCACTAATGTAAACATAAAATTCATATTTTGTAAGTCTATAATTTAGTGACTTCTTGAAAACTTTACAGAGTAATGTAATCATCATCAATTTCTAGTTTTGAATATTTTCATTACCCTAAAAAGTTCCCTTGTGTCCAATTTGTGGTCACCCCACTCCCATCACTACCCCAATGTAATCATTAATCTGTATCCCGGATATTTCATATAAATGCAATCATTTAATATGTAGTCTTCTACATCAGGCCTATTTCATTTACCATAATAATGATTTTTAGGACTCATTAATGTCATAGTATGCATCAGCAGTTTGTTTCCCTTTAATTGTGCACTAGTGTTTCATTTTATGGATATATGATACCTCATCCATTCACCAAATCATGGAATTTTAGATTATTTCCAGTTTTGAACTATCATGGATAATGGTATTAAGAACATCCTTGCGCAGTTACAAGTGTGAACATATGGTGTCATTTCTCTTGAGTAGATACTCAAGCATGGAAATGCTAGGGTATGCAGTTAAGTGTTACATTTTTTAAGAAATTTGAAAATTCTTCTGGAACATGGCTGGAGTATTTTACGTTTCTATCAACAATGCATGGGAATTCAGGAAGTTGTTACATGTTCTGGTTGTATGTTATATGCTGTGGTTTTATTCAAATCAAGCCATTTTCTATTTTTCTTTGTGATTCTTTTTTGACATGGGGGTTCTTAGAAATGTGTTGTTTATTTTCCAAATATCAAGCAATTTATCAACTCTCTTTCTGTTATTGATTCCTAATTTAATTTTGTTGTGGTCCAAGAAAATATTTTGTTTGATCTCAATTCTTTTAAATTTATTGAAACTTATCTTATGTTTTATAGTCCAGTACATAATCCATTTATACTAGAAAACAATTTGCCAACTTCAACATGGACTATTCTATGAATGTCAATAAATTGTTCAATTATGATCTTGAACAGAGAGGGAAGAACAGTCTTTCATTAATTATTAGTTATTGAAAGGGAATGCTTCTAATATTTTACTACTAAATAGGACTATGGTAATTTTCCAGTAGATATACCTTATCAGGTTAAAGAAATCATCTGTTCCTGGTTTCCCAAGAATTCTTATTGGGTACTGAATTTTACCCAAATTTTCTGTATCTATTAGTATAATTATATAGCTATTCTTTAAAGTGTTTTCTAAAGAGATCATATTAAAGGATATTCTGATGTTAAGCTATACTTACCTTCAGCATAAAATTAAACCTGGGGAAAAACAACCTTTCTTTTTTTTAATATAAATATTTATGGCTAGGGATGCCACAGTGGCCCAGTCAGTTACGTGTCCAACTCTTGATTTCAGCTCAGGTCATGATCTCAAGGTTTTGAGATGGAGCCCTACATCAGACTGCACTCAGCGGGGTCTACTTGAGAGTCTCCCTCCCTCTCCCCCGCTCCTTCCCTTGCTGGTGTGTGTGCTCTTTCTCTTTAAAAACAAAACAAACCAATAAAATTAATAAATAAATACAATACAATAATATTTATGGCTATAAGTTACCTCCACTACTACTTAGGCCAACTCTCAGAAGTGTAAATGTACAAAATTTTCAAAATTTTTGATTCTAAGCATTTCATAATGTGTACAATAATTTCTTGTATGAATTATTTAAAATATGTACATTTCCATTGTCTTAGCTCGATTTTTATCATTGATTTCTTACATAATTGCGCTATGCGTGAGAAGTCATCTTTATGACAATTTAAGTTTTTAGACAATTTTATGGCTTCAAGTGACAATTTTTACAGTGTTGTGTGTGTTTGAAAAGAATGTGTATGTGAATCGAGCCAGTGGATTTTTTTGTTCAAATTTATACTGTGAAGTTATTTTGTAATCGCTCTTTAAAAAAAAAGAATATGTTAAAATTTCTAAACCATTTGATTTCTATTTCAAATTTAG